AGTTTGTGAAGGAAATCCTCTAATCACTCTCAAAAGGACTAGAAGAAATAAAATAACCCACCAAGTCCACCTTGAGATTAGTGGTCTTTTACTTTTTAATTAAACATGTCTTGTGGAGTGAGATTATGTGAACCTCCTCAGTTAAAATGTTCACATATTACTTGATTAGGTAATGAATGACTTTAATATCCCACAAAGCACTCATACATTCACATCCTTAGGCTGCTTATGAACTTCTGGCTTAATAACAGGAGTCTCAGAACATGCGTGATAGTGATTCATATCTCTGAGGAGTTATAAAAAACAAAGCCAATTTTATGGAAGTCTCGGATCTATTGCTTTTCTCACTCTGTAGATCTAGGGTTCTCACACTGTGGTCTACAAATACGCTTCAGCAAGTCAATAAACACCCTGGAAATGTGCAGTATTTGGGGTGCATACACTTGTGCTTTGGGAAACTGTATAGATTTCATCAGCCACTTACAGGGATTCGTAACTAAAACTTTCAGATCTACTGCAGCAGGGTTTCATGGTCTAGTACTACTGATATTTTGAGCCAGATAACTTTTTTTTTTTCTTTGTGGTGGGTGCTGTCCTGGACCTTGTAAGATGGTAGGATGGTTAGCTAGGTCCGTGGCCTCTAAACATTAGTTGTCGATAGCAACTTTTTCTTTACACACCAGTGTTGGCAACCAAAAATATCTCCAGATGTGGCCAAATGTTCCCCCGGGGGCAAAGTCATCCTGTGTACTACACTGATGTACAGATAGTGCGTGGAGGGTTTTTGGTTTATTTGTTTGTTTTTAACTAGTCTGTAAAATTTGATTCAGTTCTTACTGCATCTGATTATATGTATAATTCCAGCAAGCAGCTCTATTAATCTCTAAAGCAAGCATAGTTAAAAAGCAGCCTTTTCTTGTCTTTTGCCTTGGAGTAGAAGAGGAAGCAAACACAATCATTATGGCCTACCCAGGTGAGCCCTGGATTATGAAGTACTCAATTTTGAGACCAAAGACTTGGATTTTGGTCTTAGCCCCACCATTTTTAGCTGTGTGACGTTGAGAATCTCCCAGCTGGGCCTTAGCGTCCTCATCTATGACAGATTATTAGTATTAACTAAACCTATTTGCGTAGAGTGTTTGAGCATCACATGTGATTCTGGATGTGAACACACTCTATACTCTGTACAGTGCTGTTTAAATATAAGGTGGTGTCATTAAAAAGCTGCAGAAAGTGGCAGAAAAGGTGAATTGTGTTCTTCTTCAATAAACATTCATGGAGGGAACCCCAAAGTAGAGTGTATCCACTTCTCGATGTGCTCAAAATGATCCATTTACTGACAAGTACACTCATTTTATCTCATCCTTTTGAATTTTGCTTTTGTGTATGTTTTGTAATACTAAAATATGTTAATACAGTTTCACAAATATATATTGGGTTTGTTCGATTTTTCCTGTAAGATGGCTCTAGTAGCACTTAGTTGTCTTTAACTTCGTTTGAAACAATTTTGTTAGATTGTATGTGACAGCTGTCATATCAGCGTGCATTTAAAAAACATCAAAATTGGTGAATTTTTGTGTTGCCATTTTAATATTGAAGATGGAAGAAAAAGCAACATTTTCAGTATATTATGCTTTATTATTTCAAGAAAGGTAAAAATTTAACTGAAACGCAAAACAGATTTGTGCAGTGTATGGAGAAGGTGCTGTAACTGATCGATTGTGTCAAAAGTGGTTTGCAAAGTTTCGTGCTGGAGATTTCTCACTGGACAGTGCTCCATGGTCCGGTAGACAGCTGAAGTTGATCGCGATCAAATCGAAACAATAATTGAGAACAATCAATGTTATACCACTATGTGGGAGATATGTGGGAGATATGTGGGAGATAGCCGACATACTCAAGATAGCTATGTGGGAGATAGCCGACATACTCAAAATATCCGAATCAAGCGTTGGAAATCATTTGCACCAGCTTGGTTATGTTCATTGCTTTGATGTTCGGGTTCCGCATAAGTTAAGCGAAAGAAACCTTCTTGACCATATTTCCACATGTGATTCTCTACTGAAACATAATGAAAATGTTCCGTTTTTAAAACAAATTGTGACGGGCAGTGAAAAGTAGATACTGTACAATAATGTGCAACAAAAGAGATCGTGGGGCAAGCGAAATGAACCATCACCAACCACACGAAAGGCCGGTCTTCATCCAAAGAAGGTGATGTTGCATATATGGTAGGATTAGAAGGGAGTCCTCTATTATCAGCCCCTTCCAGAAAACCAAACGGTTCATTCCAACAAGTACTGCTCCCAATTAGACCAACTGAAAGTGACACTTGACGAAAATCATACAGAATTAGTCAACAGAAAATGCATAATCTTCCACAAGGATAATGCAAGACCGTGTGTTTCTTTGATGACCAGGTAAAAACTGTTACAGCTTGGCTGGGAAGTTGTGATTCATCTGCTGTATTCACCAGACATTGCACCTTCGGATTTCCATTTATTTCAATCTTTACAAAATTCTCTTAATGGAAAAAATTTCAATTCCCTGGAAGACTGCAAAAGGCAGCTGGAACAGTTCTTTGCTCAAAAAGATAAAAAGTTTTGGGAAGGTGGAATTATGAAGTTGCCTGAAAAGTGGCAGAAGGTAGTGAAACAAAAGGGTGAATACAATGTTCAATAAAGTTCTTGGTGAAAATGAAAAATACATCTTTTATTTTTACTTAAAAAACCGAAGGCACTTTTTGGCACACCCAATAATTTATAAATGAGAGGAATCACATATTGACAGTGTACGCGCAAAGATATTTTAATAATAGAGGTTTGAGCAGAAAATTTTGGAAACCTGTATTCTGGAAAACAGTTCTCTGGAGAACAGCGTGTGTCGTGTGGTTTGGGGCGGGAGCTTTTTTCTTGATATGACTGCAAATTATTGTATTAGCTTGTAAGGGATTTAATTAGAGGTTCTCAGGCTGGCTGATCATCAAGATCACCTGCAGAAGTTTCTTTCAAATTTGGCTAAACACTGTCCCAGATTTGCTGAATCAGAATTTCTGGGGTTGGAACACAGCCTCCATGGATGATTCTAATGTGCAAACCTGCTGAGAACTAACTTAAACCCTTAGCTGTTAATAAGGTAGCTATTAATTAACATAAGTGGGGGGAGTCCTCCTATGGAGAGTAAGATAACAGGTGGCCTGCTGTAACGTTGGCAGTTAGTCGTTCGGCTAGTGCTACTGGTTGGATAATTAGGCTGATAGTTTCGATGATTACTAATATGGGAATTAGGAAAGTGGGTGTGCCTTGTGGTAGAAGGTGAGCTGGGGATATTTTTGTCTTATTACGGAAGCCTGTAATGACGGTACCGGCTCATAGGGGAATAGCTATACCTAACTTTATTGAGAGTTGGGTGGTAGGTGTAAATGAGTGGGGTAATATTCCAAGAAGATTTGTAGAAGCAATAAATAGGAGAAGTGAGATGAGTATTAGAGATCAGGTTTGTCCCTTGAGGTTATGTGTATTTCTTAGTTGTTTTGATGTAAGTTTGGTTAATCATTGTTGGATGGAGACTGTGCGATTGTTAATTAGTCGATTTGGTGTTGGGAATAGTATAGTAGGGAATATGATGATTAGAGTGGTGATAGGAATACCTAGTATTATTGGGACTGTGAAAGGGGTAAATAGATTTTCGTTCATGTGGTGTTTCAAGGAGTTTGTTGTTCTTTTATTTTGGTGTGTGTTAGTTTGGGGGAGGGGGAGTGGAAATGTTTTGAGATTTTTAGTTGAAATAGTGTGAAGAGGGTAAGGAATATAGATAGGATAGTAAGAAGTCATGTTGATGTGTCTAGTTGTGGCATGTCATTAAGGGGAGTTTACGGCTCTCAATCTTTAACTTAAAAGGTTAACGCTAGTTTAGCTTCTTAATCAGATTATAATATGGATTCAGATCATTTTTCGAAGTTCTCTAGGGGTACTAGTTCGAGAACGATTGGTATGAAGCTATGATTTGAGCCGCAGATTTCTGAACATTGTCCGTAGAATAGACCCGGTCGTGTTGATATTAAGGTTGTTTGGTTTAGGCGTCCAGGGATTGCATCTGTTTTTAAGCCTAGGGAGGGAACAGCTCATGAGTGTAGTACGTCTTCAGAGGAGACTAATATTCGGATTGTTATTTGTATGGGTAGAACCATTCGATTATCTACTTCTAGTAGTCGTAGTTCTCCTGGTTTTAGGTCTGAGGTTGGAATTATGTAGGAGTCGAAGTTTAGGTCTTCGTAGTCAGTATATTCATAACTTCAGTATCACTGGTGTCCTATTGTTTTTACGGTAAGAGAGGGGTTATTAATTTCATCTATTATGTAGAGAATTCGTAGGGAGGGCAGGGCGATTAGGATTAAGATGATGGCTGGGAGGATGGTTCAAATAGTTTCTACCTCTTGAGTGTCTATTGTACTGATGTGTGTTAGTTTGGTTGTAAGTATTAGGGTGATAATATAGAGGACTAGAGAGCTAATTAGGAAGACGATTATTAATGTGATCATGAAAGTGTAGGCGTTCTTCTATAATAGGTGATGTTGCATCTTGTAAGCCTAGTTGGAGGGGATATGCCATGGAGATATACAGGGTTTTCACTTGTGATTTGACAAAGTTACGTAAGGCTTTACTAATATCTCATTTATAAAGAAAGACATAGTGGTTATGATATTGGCTTGAAACCGATTAGATGGAGTTCGATTCCTTCCTTTCTTGATCATTTTGGTTGACGTATGCTGGTTCTTCAAATGTATGGTATGGTGGAGGATGTCCATTTAGTCATTCAAGATTTGTGGAGGTGAGGTCTACTGTTATATACCTCTGGTTTAGATGCAAATGCCTCTCAGATGATGAAAATTATTAGTATAACTGCTGTTAGTGAGATGAAAGAGCCTATTGATGAGATAGTATTTCATGTTGTGTAGGCGTCTGGGTAGTCGGAGTCGAGGTATACCAGATAGGCCTAGGAAGTGTTGTGGGAAGAATGTTATGTTTACACCTACGAATATGATTATAAAGTGAATTTTTGTTCATGTTGAATTGAGTGTATAGCCTGAAAATAGTGGGAATCAGTGAACAAAACCTCCTATGATGGCGAAGACAGCTCCTATTGGAAGTACATAGTGAAAGTGGGCGACTACGTAGTAGGTGTCGTGGAGAACAATATCTAGGGATGAGTTAGCTAGGACGATGCCAGTTAGGCCTCCTACTGTAAATAGGAAGATAAAGCCTAGGGCTCATATTAGAGCGGGAGATCATTTAATATTTCCCCCGTGAAGTGTTGCTAGTCAACTAAAGACTTTTACTCCTGTGGGGATAGCAATAATTATAGTGGCTGATGTAAGATATGCTCGTGTATCTACGTCTATTCCAACTGTGAATATATGATGAGCCCATACGATAAAGCCTAGGAACCCAATAGAAACTATAGCTCAAACTATTCCCATATACCCGAAAGGTTCTTTTTTCCCTGAGTAGTAGGTTACAATATGTGAAATTATTCCGAAGCCAGGTAGGATTAGAATATATACTTCGGGGTGACCAAAAAATCAAAATAAGTGTTGGTACAGGACTGGGTCGCCTCCTCCTGCGGGATGGAAAAAGGTTGTGTTTAGGTTTCGGTCGGTCAATAGTATGGTAATTCCAGCTGCTAGGACGGGTAGTGATAGTAAGAGTAATACTGGTGTAGGACTGATCACACGAAGAGGGGTGTTTGGTATTGGGTTATAGCAGGTGGTTTTATATTAATAATGGTCGTAATAAAGTTGATGGCTCCAAGGATTGAGGACACGCCGGCTAAATGTAGGGAGAAAATGGTAAACTCTACTGAGGCTCCTGCATGTGCTAGATTTCCAGCTAGAGGAGGATATACAGTTCAGCTTATATTATTTAGACGAGGAAAGGCTATGTCAGGTGCTCCAATTATTAGAGAGACTAGTCAATTTCCGAACCCACCAATTATGATAAGTATGACTATGAAGAAAATTATCATGAAGGCATGAGCTGTTACTAGTACGTTGTAAACTTGGTCATCTCCGATTAGTGTGCCAGGTTGACCCAGTTCAGCGCGAATTAATAAGCTTAGGCCAGTGCCTACTATTCCTGCTCAGGTACTAAATAACAAGTATAAGGTCCCAGTGTCTTTGTGGTTGGTTGAGAATAGTCAGCGATTTATGAACATAGGTAAAATGGCCGAGTAGGCATTAGACTGTAAATCTAAAGACGGGGGTCGAGTCCTCTTTTTGCCAAGTCCTGTGGTGAATCATCATTTTGAATTGCAAATTCAAGGAAGCAGCTTCAATCCTGCCGGGACTTCTCCCGCCTTTTTTTTCTCGCGACGGGAGAAGTAGCTTGAAGCCAGTTGACTGGGGTATTTAGCTGTTAACTAAAAGTTCGTGGGAGATGTATCCCTCCAATCTAGTGAGGATTTAGCTTAATTAAAGTGTTTGATTTGCATTCAATTGATGTAAGATGCGGTCTTGAAATCCTTATTAGGCAGGGGTTAAGTAAATTATACTTGCTCAGGGCTTTGAAGGCTCTTGGTCTGATTTAACCTAAACTCCTATAGGAAAATGGAGAATGCTGGTGTGAGGGGTAAGAGTACTGTGGATAATACAATTGCTGTTGGTAGAAGGGTTATTCGTTTTGTGGAGTGAAATTGTCATTTTATTTTTATGTTGTGTGTAGAGGGAAATAGGGTTAATGCTGTGGAGTAGGCGAGGCGTATGTAGAAATATAGATTGAGTAGTGCTGTGATGGCTGTGAGGGTTGGTAGAATGAGAATATCGTTTTTTGTTAGTTCTTGAATAATTATTCATTTGGGTATGAATCCTGTAAATGGGGGGAGTCCTCCTATGGAGAGTAAGCAAATACAGGACAGGGTATATAAGAAGACTTCCCGGGTGGAGGAAGGAAATGCAGGTAGGAAAGTGCAAAGAGAATCTTAAATTTCTTGGAGGGTTTTTCTAGGACAAACCATGATCTAGGTATTTCTCTCTATATATAACTTTAACCTCTGTGACGTAAAACAATAATGTGTTATTTTTGCACCTATGCTGTGGATTTCCAAATATTGGATAATTTGAAAATGCTATGAGTTACAGTTTCTGTCTCATGATTCTGTGTAGTGTTTAATCTTTACTGAGAAGTACTATTTCCTAGGTACTGCCCGGATTTTATGGTGTGTCACAGTTCCTCTGGCATAAAAATAAATGTTTAATGAAAGGGAAATAGACTGCTAAGCCTGGAGACCCACAGGAAACAGGCTATTGCAAAGAACTGATCAAAAACTTCTCTTGAAAAGTGCTCTCTCCTCTCCATCTCTCTTCCTTCGTCTCATTTATCAAGTAAACACTGTATCTCCTTATGAGCTTCACAAGAATTATGTAATTATGGATATGAAACCTGCTGCCATGTAGCTTCCTGCCCCTGGGTAGAGGTGAGCAGTGTTGCCTTTGATACAAGAGCCAGATCATTCGATAATAATGGATAAAGAGACTTTCTGGGTGATAGCAATCGAATGGCAGAATTTTCTTATACCTGGCAGAATCACTAAAAACTGTCGGTCAGTGGGTTCCTATATATTTGTGTTATTTTACAGATTAAAACATTTGGTCTTATGATGTGTGTTTGCTACAGTGTTTAAGAAAATTTAATTTATCTACTGAAATAGGAGAAGTAAAGAAGGGAGATGGGTGCGGTACGTTATAGAAGCAAGTAGCTTTTGAGATCTGTTGACAGTGAATAGCACACGTGTAAGATAAGAAGGGACGGAAGATGATATGGGTTGAGTTGTGCCACTCGCGCTCAGTATTTGTCAGAGTCCTGCGGAGAAACAGTATTAGAAGAGTATCAGTAGAGAGGGAGGGAGAAAAAGAGAAAGAGAAAGAGAGAGGGGTATATTATAAGGAATTGGCTTTCACAGTTTTGGAGGCTGAGAAGTCCCATGATCTGCCGTCTGCAAACTGGAGACCCAGGAAAGCTGGTGGTGTGGGTTCCAGCCTGAGTCTGAAGATCTGATCAGGAAGGCTGATGGTGTTGCCCAAGGGCTGGAAGAAAAAAAAACGATCTTTCAGTTCAATCAGTAAGGCAGCGAGAGAGAAAGAGAGAGAGAATTCAACTTTCTTCTACCATTTTGTTCTATTGGGGCCCTCAACAGATTGGATGGTGCCCACTCACACTGTGGAGGGCCATCTGCTTCACTCAGTTCACCAAGGCAAGTGCTTATCTCTTCTGGAAACACCCTCCCTAACAAACACACTTGGAAATAATATTTAACCAAATATCTGGACATCCCATGGCCTGGTCAAGTTGACACAGAAAATGAACCATCATACCCCCTCAAATTAATATGTTGGAGTCCTAACCCCTAGTGCCTAGAATGAGGCCTTATTTGGAAATAGGATTGTTGCAGTTGTACTAATTAAGATGAGGTCATACCAGCGTAGGGTAGGCCCCTCATCTGATGTGACTGGTGTCCTTATGAAAAGGGAAAATTTAGACACAGAAATGCACATAGGGTAAACACCATGAGAAGGTGAAGGCAGAGATCAGGTAATGCAGAAGCCACGGAGTGCCAAAGATTGGCAGCAAAGCACCAGAAGCTGGGATAGAAACATGGCACAGTTTTTCCCTCACTGTCCTTGGAGGGAAACAACCCTCCTGCCTTGATCTTCTAGCCTCCAAAACTGTGAGACAGTAAATTTCTGTTGTTCAGGCTGCACAGTTTTTGGTACCTCCTTTCTGCTTTCCTAACACTAATACAGAAGGGCTTAGACACTAAATAGTCATGAGTCACTTGAGGCAAATGAGCACGGAGAAAGATTCAGGAAGTGCTTGCACCCTCCCCTACGTGTGTTAACCTCTCTGTTGCTCCTTGCTTGTGGCTGTGTGTTTAAGATTGATTCAGTGAGCTTTTGTGAGTCAAGCGTTTTCATTTGTTCTACAAACCTTTCTGTTCTGCGGCCTCTGGATGAGCTGGTCGGCTACCCAAAAGCCTCCCATCACATTAACATAATTCCCCAGATTGATAAACCCTTTATAGTATTTTTGATGGTCCCTACTATCATTGTTTCTCATTTTTATTTCCAGGTTGTGATTTTATTTTAGGAAATATTAGTAGTGTGTCTGAAAGCATTGATTTGCTACCGTGAAGGCCTATTTTGCTAAGAAACCATTCTACACGATGACAAAAATCTATTCACAGTTTTAACTCTGCTTTAGATGTTTACGCTTCCACTTCACATTTTTAAACTCTTAAAATATAGCCACGGAGAAGCCTGAAAGTCCATAGAAATAAGATTTGTGAGGAATATTCTGCATCTGTTTACATGAAGTGATGTTTTCAGAGGTGCTGTTGGCTGAATTCATTTTCAGGGCCTGTCTGATGCTGTTCAAGTTCTCCATTTGTAGACTCATTGTGTGTTATACCTGCCCATCTTCCCTAGGAATTTTTCAGTTTATGTTTGCTTCTTCTCTTTTACATGTAACTGCTCATGGAAGCCAGGAAGGGATATCATTTGGGGGTTTGCTTACTATTTGTAATTGGAATTCTCTGGAGGCAGGGGTCAAATTAACTCATGGGTTTGATCCTAGCAATTTACCTTTCCACGCTTTCTTTCTTCTGTAAGTAGGAATTTACCGTTCAAGCATGCTATTTTAGTAAGGGATAATGGAAGGTAACAGCATGGTTGCTGATGGAACTGAGCGTGATTAAATGGTTTAGAGTGAAGTACACCCTTCTCTAGTGGTGAAAAGGCCTTGCATTACTAAAATACAGTAATGACTGATTCATCTCCTGAAACAGTCTTTGCCTTGGGGCAGGATAGTTCATCTCATGAATCTGTCTTTTAGTCATTTACAAAAAGTTATTTTGTAAGTCAGCCAGAAGATGTTAGTTGAGCACTTAAGTCCAAGAGTCAGGGTTAGGAATTCTGTCTTTGGCCATAGCATCTGTGTGACCTCAGACCAATTACTTAAGCCCATAGGCCCCATGTTCCTCATCTGTGAAATAAGGGTCACAGGACCGCTCACCTTACAGGGATGTTACAAAGATTAAATTAAAACAGAGGAAATTCTCAGCACAGTGTCTGCATGTTGAAAGGGCTTGGATAATATGCTACCTGTTGTTAATTTTTACTTTCTAATACTTAGCTCAGTTTAGCATTTTATTTCTTTCTCTTTTTGTTATTTATTCATTATTGGTATTTATTTCTCTTTCTGAGTGAGGTACTTGGATTAGAGTGATGTCAAATACTGGCCCTTCAATAAAGATTCTTAGAATCTGGTTAAGGAGAAAACGCATAAGAAATTATTTCACTGTACTAAGATAAAGGCATGCAGTGGGTACACTGTACAATGTGGGAAATCAGGAAAGGTCTACTAGCTAATCCTGAAAGGTATGTTAAGTATAGTCAGGGATTAGAAGGAAACAGCTTGAGCAGAGACGAAGAGCCATGTACCACCATGCTTTATGCATGTAAAAAAAAAATTGCTGAATTCCTGAGAGCAAGACACAAGATGGAGAGAATAGGAAGTGAGTTGGGAGAAGTACCCTCGTGCTGATGCTCTCCTCAGGAGTCTGGCCTTTAAGCTTTGAGTGATAGAGACTCAGTGAAGTCCTTAAGCAGGGTTGTGCCATGGTACTCTCTGGGTGATATGGAGAGGATGGATTTCAGGGAGCCAAAGCTGAGATAGAGATACACTTGTCAGAAGAGATAATGACCATTTGCATTGAGGCAGCCACAGTAGTGGGAA